TCTCTCTCTCTCTCTCTCTCTCTCTCTCTCTCTCTCTCTCTCCACACACACACACACACACACACACACACACTTTCATGTCGTCTCACTTTCAGCCCCGCTCCCCATCTTGCTCTGTCGCTCTGGCCATCTGCCGCGGGCATGGCCCGCAGCGCGCCTTGTAATAATAAAAATAAAAAACCTGCACGATTCCGCACAGGCACCCCCCGCACGGAACTCCGCACGAACATGCGGCTCGTTCGGTTGCAAGTATGGTATATATTATATTTAATAGTCAATGTTTTAAGTATTTAATATCTTTAATATTATTTATCCTTCCAGTTCTTCTTCGGGTAGTTGTAGCAGCAACAGCCTATGGAGGGCAATCTGGAGGAAAATCTCAACTTGAGCCGGTGGAGCACAAGTATATAGACCGAGTGTAGACAACGCACGTCCCTTCTATTACCAAACAGCAGCACACTTTCCGCAAATAGGACTGTCAAATGGGTTTTAACCTGGTGGGCAATCAAGACCACATATTAACTACTCCCTTTACGAAAGAAGTTTTAAAAAGAACCAAGTTCGTTAATCTCGTGATGTGCTCTCTATCTTGGGCATATATGTATGCACACTGCACAGTGAGATGTTTCCAGCTAAATCTTCCCATAACTAGGCTCAACAACATACAGCCGGGAAGGTCCTCGTGGGCGTATGGTCCCCTTAGAGCGTTGTGGCAAGCAACGGAACAGCTGTGCTGCTATATTCTTGAGCACTGGCTTATTGTATACAAGAGCCAGTGCTCAAGAATATAGCTCTGCTCTGCTATATTCTTGAGCACTGCTATATTCTTGAGTACATGGATCTTCTTAGTTTACTGCCCAGGGAGGGTGTGAGAAAGATTGGTGCTTCATATGTTTACTCACGTTCGGCCCGTTGTTCACCGGGAAGTTCTCTATGACTGTATATGCATATACATACATGAATACATGTGCTGTCACATATCTATGAAGTAAAAGAGCGCAGTTTGCGACATAAACGAAAAAAAAAAAATTACACAACACAAACATGAAGAGCACACGGAAACCTTTTTTTTTTGTCATTCTTCTTTTAACTCCCTCAGAGTCTCCCTTTACGGTGCCTCTCACTCACAAGGCTTGCCACGCTGATGAAGTTGTTGGGTAACTGAATCGTCCGTTGCCTACAAAAGTCCAGCGGCAGTGGGCATCAACTTCTTTTCCACCCGTGTGTGCTGGGCGGTGAAACGGCACGTGAGGCTAGATTGTGGAAGCAAGTAGCTGTGGTCTGCTGGTGCTGGGTGCCATTGTTGTAGTAGAAGGAGGCTGTGACTGACATGCAGAGAGGCAGACAGGCCTCACACACACACACATCACACACACACACACACACACACACACACACACACACACACACACACACACACA